AAACTTTCCCCTAGGTCGTACCCGCCGCGTACCAAATGGGGATAGAAAAGCAATGGGGGTAAGCTCCCCAGACATTGGTCCTTTTCCAACTGCAGGTAGAAGGTTATAGCAGATAATGCTTGAGAACGAAGGCTAAGGTCAAAGTAATGAACACTTCTTATTGGTATATTACGGTTCTATAGAAAAGAACAAAATCACGTTCAAAAGTTCCTCGGGCACCGTATCCAACGCTTTGCATTTTGAAAACAACGCATTGTCTCGATTTTTGTATAATCCCACATGCATACGACAAAAGTAAGGGCTAACGGCTCTTTACCTATAAATACAATCAAGAAAAAATGTCTTTCTATTAAAGAGAGATTCAAATGACCGTTAGATTTAGACATTTCTCGAGCGTTTTAGCCCATAATCATCGGCAGCAGGGTATAGCCTGGAAATAGCTCTTTATTTCGCACATGCATTTAACATCTGCGCCGTTAGAGTTGCTCAAGTTGCAGTAAAAATGTAAAATTTTGGTAAATTTTGCTGGTTTAACCAGACTTGAATTGCAAAATTTAATTCACCTAGCGACTGTTCAGTTCGCAAGAACTTGAACCAACCCAAAGTCCTTGAAGCAACACGCGATTATTTCAAAAGACAAAAACACAAAAGTATTGCAAGCAAATTCTACGAAATTCAATTAAATTTAGAATTTCCGCCTTGGATCAACTTGATAGAAAAGTCGCGTTTTATGTTAAACTCACTTATCTCAAAATATTAAAAAATCAAGCGAAAAAATCGTCTTTAGACACATAACCAGACAGAATTAGAAACTATTTCAATTAATATCCTGAAATGACATCGCAAACTAAGGGAAACTCAAAACTAATTTTTCAAACCAAAAAAAAGATTCTCTAGCAGTAAATGTATAAAATATTGCGCCCATGTATTTAACATCCGCGCCGATGCAGAATTAATTGGCAAAATAAAGGCCGAGTATCTGAAGTGCTATCTTTGAGCCAAACCCTGCTGATGAGCTCGAAACGTCCCTGGGGTGTCTGGGATAAGCACTCGGTTATTACAGAAAGATTTTTAAATTCGATGATTTTTTCAAACTTCAAGTCGCAAAAAATTAAAACTTCAAGTTTTTGATCATTTTCAAAATCACCTAGATTGAACCTCAAAAACCGCAAATTTCTATCTTATTTAGCTGTGGCGAAATTAATTAATTTCAACGCTTGCACAAGCAGACGTAAAGATTTCAAAAATTGTCAGGTTTCAACTAGCTTTTCCAATTGGGAAAGAAAACTCACTCTACTGAGCTCCGGATGTTCGGTATTCAAGAACTTTTCACATTTCACCAAAGAATTGCAAGCGAAATTTCAATAAATTTTTAAAATGCTCTCGCATATTATGAACTTGCGATAGAGAACCACCCGCCCCTTAAACTCAGCAGGTATTGCAAAAAAAAAATCACTACGGAAAATTGATTTAAAAGAACGAAAAATCAAATTGAAAAAATTACTTTGGTTCAACTAAAATCATCAAATCACCAAAATTAAACCAAAGTAAATTCGGCGTTTGCGAGTTTGAAACTGCTTCAACTCGCGTCCTTAATTGACATCGCAAAATGAAACTAAGGGAAATTGAAAACTATACATTTCAAACCTTCTAAACTGTTTTCTAGCGGGCAATAAATATTTCTACGTCTACGAATTTTACATTCGCAGCGTTTCGAAAGTGCTATCTTCAAACTAAACTCTGCTGATAACAGCTAATCGGCTCGAAACCGCTACTTGCGTTCATCGGAAACGTTTGGCCGCTTTTATAATCGGTTGGTAATTTGCCTCCTCAAAAACCCTTGCAAACAGAAAACGCGCAGCGAATAATTTTAAGGAAAAAAACTGAGGGAACCACACCAACAAAAAACAACCCCGTGGTCCGTTCGCTGTGCTAATTTGAGCTAAATACTACAAACATGCGCCTGTAACCTTTAAGGAAGCGTTTGTACATATATACAGGTGAGTAAAACGTTAAAAATACTGACTCAGCTACCGTTTATTACCAAAGAACATTCGTAAATACATTCAATACTGGTTACATAGAATTTGGGGTTGAAGTAACGGAACAGATGTGAGGAACCGGCGAGCTGCGCGTCGAAAACAGACGCCCTAAGAACCAACTCTTCTCATTGTAGCCTACGAGTAAATAGTCTGCCTGCCTGCCTTTATTTCAAAGGTTCGGTTCTGTGCTAGAAAGCAATATTTTAGCTGTCATGCTGCTGGCTATGTTCTGTTGACAACCAGTTCAAGAAATGGAGTGCCTGACTAATCCGTTCCACAACTGGAAACAATGAAGAAGGGTTTTTCGCACCTTTTTCGCTCCGAATTTCGAGTATGTTTCCATCTGCAATTCTCACTCACGGCAACTTTAACGAGACGAAACAGTAGCGTTGTGCTTTCAAATAAAGTATTTAGAACAGAAAGCACTGGAAAATTACATTTCTGACCATGTCTGACTCAGAATAGTTGTCTTATTATAATATAGCACGAGGATGTCGATTTTTTTTGCTCAAATATTATTATTTCTCAAATGCGGCGACGCAGTCAAGTCAACTGCTCATTCAACTATTCCGAGTCAATAACTAAAATACGATTCTGAATGCAGATTCCAGCTAACCGCCAGTTTGTCATAAAAATTAAACTTTGATGACGCTTTTTGGATCGAAGCGTTCTGATTAATTGAACGGACACAAGCTCAATAAAGAAAATATTGCCCGATGCTCATTTACATTCACCCTGTCTTAAGTGCGAGCGCAAATCGCACATTATATAAACAAATAAGGAATGAATTATCAAATGCGTAGCTAAACCTGTACCTGTAAAACAGCTGCAATTAGCATTAATCATTAGCCAGAATAAAAAAAATGTCAAAGGTTAAAAAGTATAATTTAATAGATCGTTTTTGGTTGAGTTTGTAATGTTTGAACAGAAAATAATCTTTTCTAGAGCGTTAAAAGAAATTTAAAACAAAGTTAATTTTTTCATCTGTTAAAGTTTGGGAAATAAATACTTCCACTAGGGCATTTTTCTGTGCAATTGTGTTCTCCTGCAGGCATGCTTTAATTGGTGGTCCTATTAGTCCTCTTCAGCAGCAAATCGTTGGAAAGAAACGGCGAATAGTATGGGATATTCCTTTTCCCAATCAGTCGGTTAGAGCGCATTATGGACCCGCTGTCTATAAAAATCAGTAATTTTTTTAAAATCTCTTTTGGAAAAGGATAATCTCAATTGCTTAATATTGTGACTGTATTCTCCTGTCGCAATGTTTTGATTTGCGTTCCTATTGGTCCTCATTCAGCAGCAAATTGTTCGGAAAAAGGATAGCGAATAGTACGGAAAATTCCTTTTTCCAATCGCTGTTGGAGCGCATTATGGATTTAAAATTTTGCATATAAAATCTGCCGCTGTCCCCGCTGTCTATAAAAAGTAGTAATTCTAAAAAATCTATAGTGGAAAAGGATAATCTCAATTGCCTAATATTGTGACTGTAGTTCTCCTGTCGCAAGGTTTTGATTTGCGGTCCTATTGGTCCTCATTCAGCAGCAAATTGCTCGGAAAAAGGATAGCGAATAGTACGGAAAATTCCGTTTCCAATCGCTGTTAGAGCGCATAATGGATTTAAAATTTTGCATATAAAACCTGCCGCTGTTCCTGCAGTCTATAAAAAGCAGCAATTTAAAAATGTTATCTTGGAGAACATACGGAAAATTTCTAACCGATCTTCTACCGTGGCAACAATTTTTTAAGTTGAGTTTCAGATATCTTGATTAGCAACAAGTGGAATGTTATCGCGCACGAAATATGCATTGGAGGACTATACAACAAAGGAAGCACTAAAAAACTAACACATGCCGAACAGAATTAAAGCAGAAAAAGGCGTTAAAATGAATGGCTAGGGCATGATTGCTCTCCACCTTTTCCATTCAGTTGTAACTGCAAAGAATCTGCGGAATCTTCGGCGGCTTACGCTCACCTCGATTAGGCAGAACTTACAAGAGAAATACTTGCAAAGCAATAGCTAATCTACTTATACAAAACGTACCTTCGACCAGAAGCTCGTCCAGAGATAAGATGCCAACCACCATTTTCTTTAATTAAAAACACAGCCCTCAAGACAATAGGTATATTAGTAGTCTTAGATAACTAAACCAAACACCCAATACGCACCAGCAATTTACACACTAAAGCTCTAAGTTACATCGATTTTTTTGAGGTTTTGTATTATAGCTACAATGAATACTCGTCTATGGCACATGACTTTTTAGTCTTTGGTTAGTAGCGAACGCGACTAGAATGGTGATTTAAACTAAAATCTTTGGTTGCAAAAGTTAAAATACACTTGACTAAATATTTGAATACAGAGCTGGAAGGCAGCTATTAAAAGTAAGCAGGACGTAAACCCGCAGCAAAATTCAGAGGCCGAAAGACGCCTAAAAAGAGCTAACGGAAGATGGGCGAGAGGTTCTATAAACAGTGATGCTGCTGCTAAATTTTGGTAAAACTGGGGGCAACGAAACCGGAAAACTGCCAGTAGGAGCATTGGTATCGCACTTGTGCTTATTTTCGAAATGCCTTTTAAGATTGCTTTGCTGATGGAATTTTCTATCGCAAAAAGAACAGTGAAACATGGCTGCTTTACCGCATTCGTACTGCATGTGTCTACGCATGTTTCCTCGATGTTTGTAGACCTTGCCGCAATTTTGACATGGGTACCCAACCTCTTGTTCAATTTTCCGTAGGTACCACGATCCATCTTCGCCTGGAAAAAGGATTCTGCTGTACTGGGTACCAGTTTAGTAAACTCTCACACATTCCTTGATTAAATTTTGTGCTCGTTTGCCATATACTGAGACCTTGCGGCTTTCTTTGTCCTGATCGCCGATAAAGCGCAACAGAGAAAACGGCAAGTCCCAAAGGATACAAAAATACGGACAGACAAAAACATAGCAAAAAACCACACTTTTGAAAAATATTTTATTGATAATTAATTTTTCAAATACAACTCAAAATACATGGTCCTTCCGGCCTGTCAGCAAGGATTCTGTAACAACGAGAACAAATATATTACACCTCTGAAAATCGAGAAAAAACGGCATTTTTTTTGCGCCTTGGCTCACAAAAGAGGCAAGCCAAGAGCGAATTAATAAGAAAATCAAGGCACCTGAAGTAGAGGCACCAAGTAAGTTCTGTATTTGCGTTTAAATAGATAATAATAAACTCACCAGCAAATTGATATCTCCAATCCCCCATTCCGAATGGCTAGTGGCATCTGCTTATGGCCCATAGCTTCAATGCATCGATGAGGTGGAAAGGCAATGAATAATGGAAAATGGATATAGGTGATAGGGCAGAGGAGAAAAAGGTCCCCAAACCCAGTGAGAAAAATTTAGAAAACCATCCAACCCAATTTTTAAGGCCAAATTGCAATTCCCCGTTTCGTGAACCCCCGGCAACTAAACTGCCGCTCAACCCCACATTCGTAACGCGAATGCCATATCAAAGTGTACGGCGTTGAATAGACGCGGCCGCAGTTTTTGCATATATTTGGCAATTTATCTGCAAAATGAAAATTCATCAAGCCATACACCCAATCGCCTGATCAATGAGCATGAATCGTTCATCATTTAAGTGCCTCTTGAACAAAGAGGTCCAAACGGCACTTGAAAAATGATGGATTTAAATGCTAGTTAAAGATCAGGCAAACACACGGCCAATGGCGCAATGCTTCGCATGCTCCAATGCCACAAATTGACTAATTCTAAGGGAAAATCCAGCGTCAGAAAGTAAGGCGTGTCTTTTCAGTTAGAATGAGCTCAAAAAAGGGAAAACGACCATGAAGACATTGACTGTTTCTTTGGCCTTCTACCACACAGACAGACATACAGAATTAACGGTAAAATACCACTTAGATGCAAAATCTGCTTTTGTGCCAACTGAAAAATATACCTCACTGCATTTAAAAATACAGCTACCAAATAAATACCGTCCTTTCAACTGCAGAATACATACCTCTCCTCCAATCCAGTCCTTCGAAGCCCCCTTTCCGGAGACCCAGGCCCCAAAAGAAAATACAATTTGACAATGGAAAAAGTAATCCAAAACCAAAGAATATTTCCAATACTAAAGTGGATTAATTTTATCGGCCCCATCAAACAGAAAAGGCCGACAAAACAATCAAAACACACACCTGGAGGGCAAACCAAAAAACTTTGAATTGCCGCCCCAGGTAAGACTGATGCAGTACAAAAATTTGCAATGCAACAGTCTCCTGTACTGCCCTGTCCCATGAAATCATGGGGCAAGAGATTGGTGTTGGGTGAATCCGAACAACAATTCCCACCGAATGAAAGTACATTCCAGCAGAATTGTCGTTCGGATTGGTGTGTGGCTTTTGCGATCGGGACCAGGAAATTGCCGGTCGCAATCGCAAAAGTGAGAAAATCGAAGCAAGACTAAATTTAGCCATGCCTCAAAACAATGTACATCAAAAAAGGATAACGGGAAATAATGTACAGTAAAAAGCATGCAACATGAGATACTTTGTTAGACCAAAAGTAAAATGAGATAGAAGGCCAACAGAATACTGGAACGCTAAGCAAACGATAGACTATACAAATATTTTTTTAAGTTCATTGCCAACCACCACTTTTACGTTTCAACATTGACTATTGATTGCTTAGCTTCCAAAATACAAATCAAACCCAACAAATAACGATTGCAATCGTAAGGCAAAACATTTCAGGATCGAGGATGTAAATTAAATTGAAAAAGCCAACAAAATCAACAAAGATTGAAAATAAATCCATTTTCGCCGAGACTACGGCAGTCTCCAATTGTTTTCCACAAGAAACCAAAGCAGTTGCACGTAATGTGAGTGAACAAACTGGCCCGCACCGTCTTAGAAGTAGTAAGACTGTTTGGGCTGTAGTCAAAATGTTGACAATGATTCGACAACTCTGTGGTTTCTTCACCTTTCTCCCCGTTCTTACCTTACAAAACATTAAAAGACTGCAAAACAACCAGAACAACGTTTGTTACCTAGATTTGCGAATGGAATTAGCAGTGATCGATACAATGTTAACAGTATAACAAAGTTGTCTGAGAAGTTACTCAAGCGCAATTCTTGATGTTAGCTGAATAACATCAATTAGATGAATATCTATAAGATTCAAACGCAATCACGTTAGCAGAATAACGGATATTTAAAACGATCCGACTAGTGTGGACGTTAAACGGAATAACGCCGAATTCTGAGCGTAACTGATACCTGAATAACATCAGTTGTTATATTTTGTTAAAGTTAGCTGAATAACTTTTGAGTTGATATAAAAAAGCGTTCTAAAAGTTTCTAGAAGAATGTTACTTAATCTAACATACAACTGATTGCAAAGCCATTCATGTTGAGACAGGAACAAAACGTTGTTAAACAACTCTTCCGCCGCCAAAATCACGTTCTCGGATCAATTAGGGAGAAGGGTTAAAATAGTTTGTAAAAAATGTAATATAGCAAGCTACAAAAGCTGAAAAGTTAACTACAAAGCTACACAAGCAAATTAAGTTAACTAAAGGCACCCAACACTAAAAGTGGTATCAACTAAAAATCAGAGACTGGATAGCTCAGGTTCGATTTTGCCTTACGAAATACAAACGTTTAGCTCTGGTACTTATCTCCGATTAGCCGATTAGTTAGAAGTTAGCTTACTCAGCATGGGAGACAATTCAGGACACATCATGATTTGCTTAATATAACAAAGTAAAGGACTTGGTCGTATTGATCATGGATGCTCGAAAGTCTCCAATGAAATGAGCAGGCAATAAAGAATAAATAAGGGTTCTTTGGTTGGAAAATTGAGCAATTTGAAATCGGAAACAGACCTCCCAGAAAATAGCGCCAGAGCTATAAAAAAATAAAACAAAAATCTTACCTTGTGAGTCTCTATGTGCGCCAACGGCTTCTTGTGCCGCCAGGAAAACTTCGTCCTGCGACTGGTTACCACCCATCTGCCAATGTCCAAATCCTGAAAAAAATACACAGGTTTGGTTACATCAAATTCAAAGCCGAAAATTGTTTTTTTTATCTATAATTTATAATTTAGAAGTACATTAGGTATTCCTAATACGAATATGCAGTTTCTTAAGATAAAACTGTAAAGTAGTTCGTTTAATGCCGCTGTCAATTGAGGCGGTTGACACAGTTTTGCCGCAATTAAGCACGGAGTCCAGAGCCAAATAAAGAGCGTCATCGGAGTACTTTCGAGTGCGTAAGATGGTCTTTCGAATTTCAGCCAACAATTTAGCTACATCTACATTCTCGCTTTTGATGTTATTGCCAACCAAATCTGCGAACAAAACCACAGTGGTTCAGTTCGTATTGAATCGGCTAAACAATACGGTACAATCCATTTTAACTCAGTAGCAGAAGCAGTAACCCGGTTGTGCAAGAATTGTTAGGAAAAACCCGAAAGACCTTCCTGTACTACGCCTATTTGCAGTGATCCTTACCTTGTTGCGATGATCCCTCGCCTCCATGGCTCGGCCCTGCACCATCATCCATTTGTTCCATATTGCTCAAGTCGTCATCATCTAATGTAAGGTCCTCGATGCTGTCCTCGTTCATTTCCTCAACGTACTCTGACTTTGGCTCCAACATTAATTCAGAATGAGTTTCTAATTTTTCTTTCATCATAGGAACTTGTGCGGGTTGAGAGCCAGTGTCGTCTTTGTGTCTGGAAAAAAGAATTAAAATTAATATTTTCCTTGTGCAATAAACCTAAATTTCGATTGTTTATTGAAATTGTTACGCACGGTCCTGTTCAGGTGGTGGTGGAAAATGTTAATAAATTAATGTCCAATACACGTAAAATAAAGCCAACATCTTTTTATGGTCAATCGATGAAAAATAAAAAATGTCAACACAGCGACACTTGGAAATTTAAGTCTAAAGCTGCAGATAGTTTATGTAATGTAACGTTGTTGCAAGTTTATTGGCAATAACAATTATCTGATTCTAAATTGAGATTTGCAGAAAAGGTAGAACTGATTGTTTTTGACAAATTCTGTGGACATAAACTAGAAATAAGTTCGCAATTTCTGGGTAAAACTGAGCTCTAGAGTGAAAAAACCTTTAAAAGCTTCTCAAAATGAGCTATTAAGAATAACTAAAATGAAGAAATATTTGCTGTTGGTAAATGATGTGAATTTTGAACAATTGGTAATTATTAGGATCATTTGCATATTAGTGGTCTGGAAATTGTAGAGTGAAGTGTATGTGTATTAAAATTCGATGTAAAAAAGTTGACGAAAATGTAATGAATATGTGATGCATACCTAGATATCATTTCTTGCTTCGTTTCAATTGTATCAGGCACGTCAGAGTTCATCTTAATATTAGCAGGTAGTTGAGTAGGCGCTGAAGGAATGTTTGAGGGCAGGCTGTGGGCGTCGGAGGAGTTGGAGGCATCGTGGTGATTGTCCATCTCCTCACTCTTGCGACGCATTCTTTTTCTCTTCCGAGGACTTGGAGACATTGAGCCTTCTCTGTAAGCAAAAAGAAGCGTAAATTCAAACTGTACCGTTAGTGTTAAGCAAATTTTAAATCAATTTAAAGAAAAGTATGCCAACCTGTTATCATCCCGTTGATTCCGCTGTTCTATTGTCAGTCCTTGCACTTTAGGGATTTGAGCCTGCATTTGAGGGCTTTTCGGAGGCGCGGTTGCTGGAGCTGTCCTTTTATTAACTGGCTCGTCTCTCTTATTGTCGCTCAACCCTTTGATTTGTAAGGATTCTGCTGCTTTCAATAGTGCTCCCAACTGATCTTGGGATATGTTCACCTCACCCCGGTACATGTAATCCATCATAGCTTTCAGTTCTTGGAATTTAACATCTTTCAGGATGAGTATGGGATGTTTATCGTAATGCCGGGACAATAAAGTCTCGAAATAAGGACTACATGCTGACAAGACAACTTTGTGTGCCTTTAATAATTTGCCTTCAGCCGCCAATGTACAATCAACCAATTTTTCATGTTCCAGTAGGGAGTCGAAAACCGATACTAATGTAGATTGATGATTGTTCCAACGTAGGCAGAACTGTTGATCGTCGTCCATTATTCTAATAACTGTAACAATAAGAAAATATTATTGATAACAAATTAAATCGCTCAATATTTAAAGCGCAGTAGTTCAAAAATTCAAAATGGAGACCCGAAGTATGGCGATTCGTCAATCATCGGAAAAAAGAGAACGATAGCTGCTATCTGCTATCTCTCCTTTTCTAGCTCATGGCATCCGATGCTTCCAGGTGGCGCATGAGTCGACGGAACTGGCTAAACAGGAACTACGTCAGCAACACCACCGCAAGGAAAAGCTCAAACGTTGGCAAAATGGCCGAACAGCCTTGTGGAAAACTTGATGTGAATTGCATCTTTAAATTGAACAAACCGTCGGAAAACCCCAGATAGTCTCGCTGCTCAACATGGCGAAGAGATGCGCTACTGTTTATTTATTTATATCTAGGAAATGATGTGCATGTGCTCAATGCTGCTCATTTTTTCACGAAGGCCCCTCCCAGATTTCCCAAAAATGAGAAAAGCCCAAAAAATTGGAGTAGTAAACGTCCAAGCTAGCAGAATGTATAACTAAATAGTTACCTTATTTGGCACCTAACACTAAATATCACAATAAATTCACTTAGGTATCAACTCAAAAGGAGAAGACTAAATTCTAGTGTTGAGACTTCATGAGGCGGTTTCGGACTAAACGCGACCGGGCTGGTCGTATAGCTCTAGCGCCGAGCGGAGCCGCCGGATGCACTGCACGATCCGTTCGTGACGTCACGCCAATGCGTATTGGTTTGCTGCGCTAGGACGCTGAGCCGCCGACCAATAGAAATAGAGCCTCCACCGCTTAGCAGACGATCGGCCAAGCTACAGAAAACAGGCGCGTGATAGAAACAGCCGGCTGCTCCGCCGGGCGCAAGAAATAGATGAAGAGAGAGGAACGGTGAAAATGGGAAAGAGAGAACGTAGAGATGAGAGAAAAGACACGAATTTGATCCACAACAAAATAGTGAGCTTTCATGTTCCAGCCATAAAGTCGGTTTTCCCATGAAAAGCGATTTTTTCTGGGTGCGCTTTTGAGTACCCCTCAATTTCGCTGCCGGGCACGGCCCAGGTAGCATTCCAGTCGCTTGCTTCTCTTCATCATCGATCGCTACGGGAAGTTTTCCATCATATTGGGGAAAATTTTCCGTACATTTCGCCTTAATTTCATCGTCACTGTTTGTTTACACCGGCTCCGTTAACTACCAAAGCGACTACAAATCACCCAAGTCGGCGCGGTTTATTTGAAATCGCGCTTTTGCCGCCACAATTTTATGCGTCATACGCCTATCTCTCCTTTTGTCTAACTAGGACGCTTCACATACGTCTGGAAATTAAAATGATTTTCGTTAACCTTTCGGCTTTTTCAGGCTCTCAAATGTTTCGAACAACGTAAAAGCTGTCAAATCCCGAATTCCTAGCTTGAAAATGGCGAAATTTAGAGCCTGAGACTAGTAGGTAGTCTGAACGCTAAACTCAACCGGAAAATTTCCGAATAATCCGTTTGTTCATTTTCTATTACCACTATTTTTTAAATAAGTTCTATATTGTTGAGGCGGATTTATTTTTTTACGAACTTCTTGTTGGGTATTTTATAATTACAGTAAAGTCCGCTTATAATGAACCCGGTTATAGTGAACTTTCGGTTAAAACGTACTTTTTTCCTTTAATTGAAACGTCGTCCATAAAGGCCAACGTATTTTTTACTGGTTATAACGAACTTCCGGATATAGCGATCATTTTTTAGGATAGTTGTATATTCACTTTCCGTTTATAACGAACTTCCACGCTCAGCAGGACCAATCCTGCGGAGTTGTTTATATTAGTGCGAGCGAGAGACAAGCAGTGACTTGTTGTTTTTTGCCGCGTTATGTATGTAAATCGTTTTAGAATGGAAAAACAAAAACGCAAAGCTTTTTCACCAAATGAAAAGTACGAGAGTATTAACAAAATAAAAAGTTGAGTAAAGCAGAGTGACATTTGTAAGGAATTAGAAAATTCCAAATTCACTTGGAAAGTCTACTGTTGCAACACTATGCAAAAACAGAGAAAACATTTGATCAGCGTATGACAAAACAAATGTTAGATGTAGGAAGTTAAAATTATCTGCACATGAAAAGGTTGACAAGGGACTTATTAAGTGGTTTACTCAAAAA